GTTTAGGGTCCAACGTGTCAAGGAAATATCTACTATTCAGGGTAGAAGACCTGTCAACTAGGTAAGGGTACGTAGGCTGAAAGCTAAGCAGTAGATATCAGGCAGACAGAAGACTGATTCTTGCCTTCCTCTTTCATTCACACTAGGCTAACTTTATATCCAGAAGAACCCCCTTATTCTCCCAACAGGATAAGACTGACAAGGAGCTACTATACGTTATTGAAAAGACGACGGATATGTGATCCGTCGTCGCCGTTCGGCCTCCGAGCTGTATATGCACAACGGGCAGGGTATACGATACAGTCATCATGCAGAGTCATCATCGGATCTGTGACACAACGTGCATCCTATTTGGCGGTCGACATGTATCCCCGTGGGCCAGCGTGGTCCGATCCGCTTGAAATTCAGTCAGCATGCTAAGCGGACCCCATTATATCCGGGATTCATTTTGGAACGTGTTTGACCGTTGCCCAGCTGTGTTATAGTACAGACTGATTTAGATAGTAAAATTGGTAAAATTAGGTTAGGGTCGGGCACTACCCGGCAGAATTTCCCGACCGCCTGCCCCCATAATTCCCCAGCCACTCCGCGATATTTAGTGTTAAATCTGATATATCTATTATATACTGTCCTGCTCAGGGGTAATTATATCTAACTGATCTATTTATTAATTTCTATTATTATTCACTGATTTCTGCCGCAATCCTGCTTATTCCCCGACTATAACATATCTTATATTCCAGAAACTGGATAGATTACCCGTAATTATTTACAAAGTATATCAATATGGGATATAGCCCAACAAGATCGTCCGCTATTTAAAAGGCAGTGCGCATCGGAAGTCCCACACAGAGGCAGTCCAGATCCAGGAGACTATCCAGCAGTAGGAGAATATTACTATAGACCCCGAGGGAATTATACTTCCCTACCAGATCGATTAGGCATGGCCCGAATTATCTATATATCCCGATGGGCTGCTGTGTCGCCGGGATTACCCCCATTATCAATATATTAGTCGGACTATAGAGAGTATACAGCGGTACTGGCAGCAGATTCATAGCTGATCGCGACAAATCTATCGAGAACGGGTGACCCGTGAGCAGCGAGTTCAGAGAGAGGTTGAGCTGCGGCAGTCGTATATCCTAGTCAACTGCCAGCAGATCTTCCCGACATATAAAGAATCCCATTACATCCATATCCGCGGGGGGGAGACAGAGCTGTATATCCCTATTTCGACCGAGCAGGTGGACGAGGCTATTGCGGCTGTACGGCAGACAGTTAACCAGACACAGGCCCACGCACAGTCAAGCAGCGGAGAGGATATCTACAATACCAATCTGTGGCTGCGGGTAATACGCTGGATACAGTACTTACAGGATTTCGCTATCCCGGAGGATTTCAGCCAATTGCGGACACTGATGGAGACGCCGCTAGCTGACAGTAACAATTCTGTGGAGCAAGAGGTACGACAGATCTGGGAGACAATCGAGGGAGTAGTCCAAAAAAGCCAGCGGACTGTCTAGCACATAGGCCAGACTATCCGCGTGGAGGTGATTCGCTCCGAGAAGAGGCAGACACTGTATCATCTATTGCAGGTGTATATAGACGCGGACAGTGTGGCCAAGTATATACAGCTATAGCAGCAGATTGTGATATTTATTGCGCGCACACAGATAGCCTGCAGTGAGAGGAAGTGTCCTGTGTACAGAATAACCTCCCGGCAGCACAAGAAATAACGGCAGCTGTGGCAGATGGCGCAGATCGAATCGGCGGGACCGACCCGAGCTGGCAGTCCCGATCCGATAGACAAGGACAGAAAGAGAGAGGACCGGGAGAACCCTATCGAGCAGTAGCAGATAAGCGAGCTGGAACAGGTATATTTAGGGTTTTGTATCGAGCTGCTGAACCAGACATATCACGCGCAGGAGTACGAGAGTGTGCTGATCTGCGCCATGGCGGTATTAGGCCGCGGGGAATTTGGCTGGCGCGACCCGGAGAGCTATCCCCCGATCTTGTCGCGGGTGATCAAGGTGGCGCGGTTTATGATCGTCCAGCAGGCGCTGTGGCTGGATCCCAACGCGGTCCAGATCATCGAGACCTGGCAGCAGCCGCAGAAGTATATAGAGTAGGCACTGCGGAGTACTATTTCTAATATTGATTCCGTGTACAGCAGCGATAACAAGAAGCCGGAGCCAGTAGAATTGGGATTAGAATCAGAATTGGGATTGGGATCGGGATCGATATCATCCCCTATATTCCCTATACACAGTTAGGATCCCCTGTCACAGATCCAGTGGAGTCAGAATCTATCGCGGAAGACATTCCAGGAGTAGATAATATATATAGTTAATTATTTAATAATCCACAGGATATATACCCTGATAGAGACACTGCAGAACTGGCAGATATACAGACTCAAGATCTATTACAATACTACTGCCCTGGGCTATATAATATAGATATAGTTAGATTATTTACTATACAAGTATATCCAGTTTACTATAGACAATTTCCGCGGCTTTGTCCACAGAATAACAGCGGCCATACAGCAGATTTTAAGTTAGGAGCTACTGTTCAGATAGATCTCTACAAACCTGTAGTATATACTATATAATAATCCTATTCAGGGTACTGTAAGATAGAGCTTTTTAAAGGACTCGCAGATATAGTAATCGGTAGACAGATCTATATAGCTGCTGGAGTAGGTACAGGCCGAGCCAGATACAGAAGCAGTTTATCTACTGCTGCCAGCTCACGCGGTTCTAGCCCAAGTTAGTAATACAGTATCTACAGTAGATAGCCCGGTTCAGAGAGAAACTGACTGTACTGGTCTATATTATTAGGGATTAGCTAAGTCGGGTCCCTGAGCTACTAAGCTTATAGTATATCAACACCGAGACCAACCGGCGGTAGAATATCTTTATCAAGAACAGGATAGTCACACTGGTATTGATATATTATAAAGAATTTTACGCGAGCAATAATATCAAGGTAATCCACCGCTATGTGCCGCGAGAGGTGGGGGAGTTACTAGTATAGTACTTGTGGCTGGTATTGCCGTTCGTCTAGCAGCTGAAGATATAGTATTATCAGACTACACAGCTATCCCGCTACAATCCCCTATTAGAGTCAATATTAGGGTCAATATTAGGGTCAATATCAGGGTCAGCTCCCCGAGCGATATTAGGGTCGATATCGCCGTATATATAGGGGCCCGATCCCGGTACACAGTGTGTATAGATGTCCGATCGGCTGCGGGAGGTGTTAAAGTACAAGACCAAGATACAGCTGGGTTATCTAATCGGTATCCAGATATATCGCGACATCGCTATCAGGATTAGCCGCCGGTGGATATAGCTGAGTAGTTAGTTTACCAGCGATATCTACAAGAAGCAGGAAATAGCCCAGACAGTGTTAGACACAGATACCGAGAAGTATATAGACAAGATACAGTAACTGGAATATATTGTGGATCTATAGATAGTATATTTATTGTATATAGCAGAGATAATGTATAGGCAGGGGATTATAGAGTAGGTAGAGACCACGGCCTACTATCAGTATATATTCCGGTTGTCCAGTACTAACTGGTATCAGTTTTTAAGATTTGTATCGGCAGATAATAGTCTAGATACTAGTCCCAATTCCCACAAGTATAAACATGTGCTGTGGGAGGAGAAGATAGACAAGAGCCAGATTATACAGTAGTACCGATTAAACATAATAGATATAACACAGATACTATAGTAGATAACTGGCCAGGAGACCATACAGTTCTGTAGAGTATAGACAGCTGTGCTACAGACAATTTAGAATAGCAAGAGCCCTGTACTAATAGTAATACAGATAGATAGAGGAAAAAGTATACTGTTTTATATTACCTATATTTACAGAGCCCGGAGGGACTACTATTATAATTATACCGCTACTGTCACTATACAGAGATATAATATAATAGTATTAGATATTAGATATTTTATATATATTATAGAAGAGCTGTCAGCTACTGAACAAGACTACAATTGTACTGATAATACCGGAGTCTACAGTTATAGAGAATTTCTATATATTTATTAATTAGCTAAAGCAGATACGGTAGCTAGATTAGATTATAATTAACAAGTACTATACTGTATTAAATAACCAACAGAATTTCCGGTCTGAACTATAGTAGCTGAGACAGTTAAACTATATATAGATATAGATAGTGTTACTGACAGCTATATTATCTCTTATCTTGGAGGGGATATTATTCCAGTATATAGAGTACTAGTCGGATTAGGTTTATATATTACAGAACTGTACTAGCCACTATAATATAGTATACCGCATGTGGTGTGCCCCCAGTAGATTAATATAGTTTACCAGTAAATCTGTACTGGTATTTATCCAAGAGTGAATCCGGCGGGTAGAACTAAATAAGATAATAATTTATATTAATACTATTCGATAGATAATTAAGCTGGCCCAGGAACTATAGTACAAGATATATTATAGTCAGTAGATTAATAAGCTATCGATTTTACAGCAGTTTATATAGGGTTAGACACAGGTAATCACAGCCACAAGTATATTAGATATAGGGGTGGATATTCCTGATATTCGCTGTATTATCTATTTTAGGATACCGCGGACGTTGCTGGATTATACACAGAAAAGCAGACGTGCTGGACAGAATAGATAGCCCAGCAAGACAATTATTATCCAGCCAGACAGGCCGGTAGAGGGGAACAAGCCGGTACAGGATTACATAGATATAGTTCCGGGGGTGGGGTACCGGCAATATATATTAGATAGGTATTTGGATAGGCCGGTAAACAGATACAAACGGCAGTATTGCCGGGACGAGGACCCGGGGGGAGATACGGTACAATAGATACAATCCCGATTAGCAGTCACCATCCAGTTCAGCTTATTCAGCTCATTCAGGGCATTCAGCTCGTGCAGCTCATTCAGCTCATTCAGGGCATTCAGAATATGCAGGGCATTCAGAGTATTCAGGGCATTCAGCTTATACAGCTCATACAGCTCATTCAGCTTATTCAGCTTATTCAGGGCATTCAGCTCGTGCAGCTCATGCAGCTCATTCAGGGCATTCAGCTCATTCAGCTTGTTCAAGCCATACAGACCATACAGATCGTAATTCCCCCAGTAATAAATCGCTTGTATCCCAGACCCCGTTAATCCCCATCGCAGAACGGCAGCGGCAGCGGATCCAGGCGCAACGGCAGGCCGCCCCCGATATCCAGCAGCGGATCCAGGATGCCGATCAGTGGCTGGACGAGGAGCTGGTCGAGCAGGATTACCCTCAATAGCGGCAGATATATTATATTTACACGATCCAGAGCCATAACTAGAACAAGCACAATTTATATTTGTGTTAAGATCCAGCAAGCCAGGCAGCACAGCAATAGATATTAGCGATGCAGTCCCCCCGGATCTAGTACCCCCCATACTACACATACTAAGGGTGTGGGATACCGCAGAGTATCTGCCCGCAGTGGGAGACACGGGACTAGCGGAACTACAAATATCGCGAAATAATAATCCCGATAACAGCTGCAATACTGTACAGGCCGTGGACATCACAGGTACAGCCACTGTGGGCGTACTAACTGCAGGGATTTGGGGTCAACTGGCAGGATTTACCGCAGATAAAACAGTTTTTACGCCAGGCCACTACCGGGGCCAAGGGCCAGCACAGTCAGTTATTTACATCATTTTACTGGTTGCACTGGATATATATCGAGATTGAGCAGCGCCAGCGGCATTCCAATCGTTAAGATAGAAATATATATATATATATATATAGAGTATAAGATAGCAGATATATATAGTATAGAATATAGACAGAATCAATAAGTCAAATCTATTATAAATACAGAACAGATATATATAGTAATATTATACAGACCAGAGAGCAGTCAGTTCACGGAGACCAGAGGTCATTCAGCTCGCGGAGACCAGTTGGTTTGCGGAGACCGAAGACCATTTAACTTGCGGAGATCAGATATCCGCGGAGACCAAAGGTCAGTCAGTTCACAGAGACCGGATATCCCACAGAGACCAGAGACCGGAGACCAGTCAGTTCACAGAGACCAGATATTTCACGGAGACCAAAGACCGAAGACCAGTCAGCTTGCAGAGACCAGATATTTCGCGGAGACCAAAGGCCAGAGACCAGTCAGTTGGTAGAGATTGAAGACCATTTAGTTAGCGGAGACCAGTCAGCTTGCGGAGGCCAGTCAGCTTACGGAGACCGGAGACCATAGACCAAAAATCCCGCGTAGACCAAGTATTTTGCGGAGGCCAGTCAGTTAGCGGAGACCAGATATTTCACAGAGACCAAAAAGCTCGTGGAGACCGAAAACCAGTCAGTTCACAGAGACCAGAGACCAGATAGTTCACAGAGACCAGTCAGCTTACGGAGACCAGTCAGCTTGCGGAAACCAGTCAGTTCGCGGAGACCAGAGAATATTCAGCTGGCGGAGACCAGAGCCAGAGACCAGTCAGTTAATAGAGACCAGAAACTGAAGACCAGAGAGTAATCAGTTCACAGAGACCAGAGTTAAGAATTAATATAGTCAGTTATTTATATAATTTTATTAATTGCGGTAAATATATATGAAGGTTATACAGTATCGGCAGTATTTTAAATTAGTTAGAAATATACATATTCCATAGTTAGAGTTGCACGCGGGTCGGGTTTTGGATAGGTCTCCCCGCACCTGACCCAAAACCCGCGAGGTTTAGGCCTCCCCGACCCGCGGGTTCCCCGCCAAGTCTAGGCTAAATCTAATTAGGTAAGATACTGCTTATTAATTATAGACCTTATCTAAATAGGCCTAGTATAAAAATCTTTTAAGCTCTATATCTCTACCAATTCTATATATATAGAATTGTGTGATCGTAGCTACGCTCTGGAGCTGCTACGAGTAGGACTGCCTTACAGTAGTCCCCGCTGATCAGTAGAGACATCCTGTATTCCGCACTACGGGCTAAACCCTACACTGCTCAACTACCGCGTGTATATAAAGGACATAGCGACCCCTACCTTACGTAGGAGTCGGGCAACTCTTTACTTCTCATAGCACCCGCTACTTTCAATCACAATTGGTATTAAAAATATATATATATACATTCTAAATCTATAGAAAATCGATATTGTCATGCCAAGAAAAATCCGCTCGGGTTCCCCGCACCACTCTATCCGCCGTTACAACCAGGCTCTGTCCAGTATTAAGTAGCAAACTCCTTGGTAGTAAACATTATT